GCACCCTGCCTCCGTCCTCTCCGAATCCGCATCTGCCGTCTTTCACAGGGCGACGGCTGAAAACCAAAGGAAATTAGGTAGCTAGGGTGTACTTTTGGATGAGAAGGCTGGGTGAAAATGTGGTCTAAAAGCGACAGTTTAAAAAAAAAAAAAAAAAAAAAAAAAAAAAATCGATAAAGTCCTCAGCGGATACTTCGGCACAGTGAAATCGCTGCCTGCTGCGGGAGCGCTGCTTGCAGGGCGATGGGTAAAGCAAAGGAGTTTGCAGCGCAGGAGTACGATGCGTTGAGATGTTTAACTCGAGTCAGGAGTAATGGATCCTGGGCAGGATGGGAAGGAAGCAGCTTGCCCAGCCCGGTCTGCCCGATCCCGACCAGCTCCCTTCAGCTCCTACAGACAAGGGTGGGCGACCCAGCTCCGCTCCAGGAGTTGAATTAGAACACAAACTAGAAGCGCAGCTCACAAATGCACGCTGAGCGCATTTCCCCTTGAGGCCATTTTCCAAGCTGCAGTCGACCGCAAGTCCACCCCACTAACAGCCTCCTCCATTAGCATTCGCGTGCTCTTTCCGTATCGGTAATGCCTTCCACCCGAGCATCTCGAGACGGTTTACAAATAGCAGCAGCAGCAGAGTGCAGCGATTAGGCCTCTAGCCAGGGAGCAAAGAGACCCGCGTTTGCTTCCTGCATCTGTCACTGTCACCTCTCCTCGGCGTGCATCTCTGCCACTTAGATAAGAAATTCTTGGGGGCAGAGGGCCATCTCTCACGGTGCATCTCCACAGTGCCATGCAGAGCGAGGCTGGGCTCTGCACATCTGTCTGCCCCCGGCTCCAGCTGTGCCAGGAGAAGAGGTTGCGGCTCCTCCGTCCTGCCAGCCGAATTGCTCGTCTGCTTCCCGCACCCACGTCAGCTCTAATGAGCCGAAACAGGTTACACAGTAGGCCTTTGCTCGTTTGCACGCTGACATAGGATAGGGAACATCCCATGAGCAGCTCAGCCGGCAGATGGGAGGGGGGAAGGGGGAAAAACTCCAGCAGCAGACTGCTTCTCTTGCTGAACGAAGGAAAAAAACCCAAAGCCCTCATATACACAGACAGCAAGGAGCTCAGAGAGAACATGGCACCAGTATGTTCCCCAGGAACAAGCATCTCACTTGTGTGCACCCCTTGGCTCTTGCCACCCATCTGCTCTTCCCACTCGTGATGCCACACAAGCCAAGAGGGGCAGAGACCATTCCCGACGTGCATCTAGCCCCAGCCAGCCACCGATTCTCCAAGCAATTTTAACGCAGCCTCATATCTCGGTGAAAATAATGCCTACAGGCCCCCCAAAATCTCTGCTCCATTCTGGGTTTCTCAAGCTGGATCTGTACATGGAGTTTTTGACCACAGCTGGAAGTGTCCTGGACCATCAGCTGGTGGCACACCTGGGGACATGCCACGTGGCTGGCTGGGTCTCAGGTCACTCTGATCCTTAATTTCAAACCGAGTGGGCGCTTGAAGCAATGCGTGCTCAAGGCTCTTCCTTCTCCCCCTTGTGACTAAAGGATTCAAGGTGAGCATTCATGCGGATCCAGCAAAGAGTAGCGTGCGTCCTCCCACTCAGAAACCCGAACACTTCGTACTGGTATTTTCAGATATTTGCGGGGTCTGTTTATTACTGTTTTGAAATATTGAGAGTGGAAAAAAGAATCCCACATGGGAACAATTTTGCATTTCCAAGTGCCTGAGGTCCTATGGATGAGGTAAAGAGCTGGGAGTTAAACGTCTGGACAGGCATATGCCAAATCTCCAAATCTTGAAATCAGGGTGGGAGGAGGAATAAATAACCCTGCATGTAATTAATTGCTAACAAAAGAAAAAAAGAGTAAGACACCCAGGCACAGGGCTGTCTTCCCAGCTATCACGAGGACTCCAGCAACAGAGATGCCAACACCTTCCCCAAGATTTCTTCCCCAAAAGTTTTAAAAGGAGTTACCTTGAATCCCTCCGATGAATCCAGCTGATCCACTAGCTAGGAAACCAGCATTTGCTCCTGCAGGTAGGTTTGGTACATCGGCAGGAAATAGGAACACAGCCTTCACTGAGCCCGGCAGCTTCCTCATTCTTTCACAAGAGCCACCCTGGCTGCTGGCTGCCTTGCCTGTATGAAATTGCTGCCTTTTGTCCAGCCTTCAATGCAAATAGGACAGGTGAGATAAGATCTGAGCACCGCAGTGCTTGTCCTTTTTGCTTAAAGCCAGCCTGGGCTTCTACTGATGGCAAAACACTCAAAGGATCTCATTTAAAAGCAAACAGAAGATAAAAAAAAAGGGAAAGACAAAGCATTAAAAGCTGCTCCCCTTCCAGCAGTGTGTCTCAACGGTTAGTCACTGGGAGCGTTTCCATCAGGTTACAGACTGATGATATACATTTTGCTTTGTCTTACGAGGGTGAGGGGGGAGTACGTGCAAGGAGAGATTAGACTGTATTAGCATATATACGATCAAAGGTTGATTATGACATCTAGTCACAAAGAATAAGAAATACATTTCCTGTGGCTCAGGAGACATACCAGCTTATATGGCAGCGTTGGCTGACAATCTCACATAGCTAATGTAACATCTCTTGCTAAGATAACATCTGCCTCTGGAACAACACGTTAGATTTCATGAGGTGTTTGTACAAAGTAGACAACAGTCCTCTTCCTGCAGCGTGTGCGATTTGCAGAGTCAACTCCGAACACACGTTGCCAGAGCATTGCCGTTTCCAGGATATCTTTTCATACAGCCATGGATGCCTAGCACAACAGCCACTGGAACGTGTTTATCTCGCTGCTTGTGAGCTAGATACATGTTTTCATTGAACAAGTGAAAACATTTTCCTTTCCTGCAAGCCTATCTGACTCATGCTTAGGAAAGGCTATTGACTAAGTGCCAATCCCTCCTGTAATGCCCATCACACCTTACTACTGCATAGCAGTGAGACAAACCGAACCGTTCAAATCTTCATCTCCTCCTTGGACAGGGAGCTGAACCTCAGCCCTTGCCTCGTGGCTTTGTGGAATCTCAACTGTAGGGAACTCCACAGCAGGACCCGATTGGAGGCATCCTGGTTCTATTCACTACTTCAGAACGGGATTTTAGCCTCATCCTGTCTCTCACCAAGAGAAAAACTTGTGCTTATTTAAATAGAAGCAGAGGTAGACCAAGAGATTTTGACAATCCCACCCCTCATGTTTTAAAATAAGAACACTAAGGAAAAAGCAGGAACTTGGAGAGAGGCCGATCATTTGGTGGACATTTGCACCTTCCTTGTAAAAACATTTTTGGGTAGGAAGAGAAGGAAATCTAGAGAAACCATTGCAGGTTGAGGCTATGTTTAACTACAGTTTGACAAACAACCATGAGGAGTAAGGCAACAAGACTTACGAAGAACTGTACTAGTCTGATATAAAGCTTCATTGTCCAGTAAACTTACTCTTAGAAACAAACATTACTTACAGAGACAGACAGAAGCTGAACTAGACTATACTTAGGCTCCTTGATTCGATGTACTCAGATCACTTGCCTTCAACTTGGAGGGATACATTTTAGACCTACTTAAATGGGCACCATATGAACGAGTTGAAAATGAGATTCTGTTTACAAAACCCCAAATGTACTCAGATCACTTGCCTTCAACTTGGAGGGATACATTTTAGACCTACTTAAATGGGCACCATATGAACGAGTTGAAAATGAGATCTGTTTATAAAACCCCAAAAGACTGCATAAAATTAATAAGGTATTTCACTCTCCTCTTCTTTTGTAGACTCAAACTGTTTTAGAACTGTCATTCAAACTCATTAGTGCGCTTCCAGTCCCTTTTACAAATCATTACACGAATATTTGTTTTTACCTTGGGTTTAACATTTTCAAGCAATAACTGTGGTTGTATGCCCACGGAGAGCAGGAATCACTGTAGCGTTTGGGAATACTGCTTTAACACCTTCTCTGTAGCTGTGTCACGCTAAACCACTGCAAAACAGGTGACACATGAGCATGGTACATCGTCCTCAGCAGTTCGCATTTTACTGTGCCGACAGAATGACATTTCCAAACCAGGCCAAAAGAAAGCATTAACCTTACATTTTATGTATTTGATCTTAAAATTTCTCATCTGAGAACAAGACTGATTTTTTTTGAAAGGTATTTCCATAAATTGTTAAAAAGTAATCTCTCTAAAGATTAGAAAAGCTTAGTCAAAACTCTGTAATACGAACCGTAGGGACAAGCAGAAGTAGTTCTTGTTTTGAAGGAATAGCAACATTCACTACAACTGGGAAGGCGTCCACAAGGACAGCTGTAACTGACAGTTTGCAGTTCTTCCAAGGAATCTGACAAAAAAGATTCAACAGCTTACGGACACATCACTCTTTGCAATGTGACATGCCACTCCTTTTTAATCAGTTGGGTTTCCACACAAGGTACTGAATATTATTCTATTTACATTCAAAAATAGCATTTTTCTCTCTTCAGTACACAGTGGGAATGCCCATAAATTAGTCAGTAGAAACCCCTCTAACACAGGTGGAGGACAGCTTTGTTGATCTCTGGGTTTGTCCAGTCGTTCCGGATATCATCCAGGTGATTATCAAAATCTACAAGCGTCTCGTAGGACTTGCTGTCCAAGAGAGATGCAGCAATTCTCTGGGCTTCGGTCCAATCTTCACAAAAATCACTAGGATGTAAAATAACCAGGAATTAAAAGTAATCACAAAGCAAATCATCACCACCTCCTCTACTCTGGAAATTAAGCCACACTCTCTGCAAGGTGGTCATGATGGTCATACCACTGCCTGGCTGCAGAAGCCAGCTGTTCTCTCTCACTACAGCAAAAAACAGCTTTAAAAGCACTGTCAGCTACACCCACCGCCTTACAGCGTCACTCATCACTATCAAAGTTTTGCCCTTAGCAGGCAACCCATTTTTCCTTACTACCCAAACACAAATAAACTCTGAAGTTTACTCACACGTGCGGGTCCTTGCACCTCCACTTGTTCTCATGAAGCTCATACACGTGAATGGCAGGCTCTACGCACTCCATTGTAAACTTGGTGTTATCAACCTGTTGTGCAACAGAAAAACACCACTTTAGTCTCCTCATCAAGATCCCAAGTAAAGAGATGAAAAAAAAAAAAGTCAGTTTTTACAAACAGGGCTCCTTACACTAACTCGTCCACTGTTCTACCTTCAAATGAGCTAAATTTTACATGTTTAAACACCCAACATCCTTTGTCACTGCGGCAAGGAGGCAAAGCATCGTTTGCTTCATTTAAGACAAGAGTTTAAGTCACAGAAGGGGGTCTGAAGTCATGAATACACTGCCTTTGCTCAAGCCTCGCAAGCAGAGAAGGTCTCCACTTCCTTTGAGATGGCCGAGAACTAACCGCAGTCTCTCTGTAGACTAAGAACTTCACTGGCAACAGGTCATTGCATCTCTTACCCAGAGCATTTAAGAGAAAATTAGTTACTTCACTATTAAAGGATCCAGAGAATGGCATTTAAATGGCTAATCCAACACCACAGTCATAACATTAACCATACAGAAAGTGGGATGTGGGGGATGAAGTAATTTACCATTATGAGCGCTGTATCGTTAAAGCCCTCTGCAATTCTGGAGGCCACCTTTTCCGCAACCTGGTTTGGACTGCAGCAGAAGGTAAAAGTAACTGTGTTATTTGAACCATGACATTTCAGCTGAAACCAGCAGGAAATATGCTTAGAGAGATGTGAAAATTACACTGCGTGCTTACAAACAGGAACAAGATATCAAGCTGATGCTACACTTGATTGAAGTCAGAAGGCCAAGAAAACCCCAGCTCCACTCTTCAGCACATAATCTGGATCTCGGCTCTGCTTAGGCAATGGGTTTTTGAACGGCAAAATGCTCATTGCAGACTTTATGTGGAATCAACATGTTGCGGCCTCCTACCTTCTTCCACCAGACCAAAGACCGCAGCCACCTTTGCCCTGACAGGCATTTAAAAAAGAAACCAAGTTTGCTCCCCAGTCTGCATTTGAACCCACTCACGCCCAGCTTCTCTACCAAAATCAGATAATCTTTTAAAGGAAAACCTTTATCATGTTTCAAAGGTGACAATCTCTACATGGTGCCAGTTATCTTCAGAAATGAAATCGGAGTTTAAAAAAAAAAAAAGAAGCCTGTGATATTCTTTCAAACCTCAATAGAACAGACAAATTGTATCTTCTCCTTAAAAATGTCTCCAGCAGATTTATTTGGCTTGTAAGGGAAGGACAAATAATGCCCTTATCCCTGTTAGATACCTTAGCAGTCACAAGTATTACTTTAAAAACATACTTGAGACTGAAGGATATACATTAACAAAATAACTAGGATGTAACATAATACTTTAAACAGGCTGTTCATATTTATTTTAAACGCAGGTATGATGTACTCTCATTAGTCCTGATACTGGATTTGTCTAATAGATATGGGGAAAATACTTGATACAGATATCTAGGACTATATTGTGGCTCCACAGGAAGGCCCCCTTATTGCTTATTGGGTAATTTGAGTTAGCTAGCAGGGAAAAAAAATGACTAATCCTGGGGAAAATACATGAAAAAAGCTACCTCTGCTTGACTGACATCATCTTCCATTGCAAGAGAGTCCCTTTACCACGCAAGAAAATGCTTCAATAAAACTCGGAGACAATTAAGTAGTTTAGGAAGAATGAGGTCACTGCTGAAAGACTTTCCAAAAGATACCCGGAGTCATTCGAGTTTACAAGATATGAACCGCACAAGCAAATGCGCCTACAAATTTTGGCTATTTCCCTGACAACTGTAATTAAACCGGTTGGCAGTTGTTCAAATACTGGCCTTTTATAGTATCCACTAAAGAGGAGTGATTCTGGAAAACCTGGGATTTCTGCACCTGAACAAAGGCCATACCCACTAGCACCATGAAGACAATGTGAAACCAGATGACAGTTGTCAAAGTTAATCAACACGCACGATTTATGTCGATGATTTTTGTTGGCAGAGTACAAAGTACAACATAAAAGAGCAAACAGAAGGAAATATTGCACCAACACACCTGGCATCTTTCACGCGTTCATTTGCCTGGTAATATCCAGCTATCACGTAGCTATTCTCTTTGCACCAAGAGTCAATCTGAAAAAGTAATTGGAACAATTAAGCCCAGTGGAAAAAAAAAGAAAAAACCGTACAGAACTAAGGAAATCTCGTGTTTGACCTGCAAATAAGACGGCAATTGAAGCATTACAATATCTTTGCCAATTGCTTCTTTAAATACATACATATTTATATATATTTACGTGCGCACTCACACACAGAGTTTGGCTAATTTAACTAGAACAGAGAAACCAAATTGAACATTTGGAGAATGATGGAAAACATTAACCGAATGGACCAAAAGAACAAGAAGTTCTCTTAGTCGAAGCCTGGCCTAAGTTCGAATGACAGGACTTGTAAAGAGCTTCAGCAGCGCTGCCTGGGAGAGGAGTCTAGGTCTGACCTATTGCCCTTTGTGGCTATTTTCTGTTAGTGTTCACTTGACAGAGAGACTTTAGAAAACGTTCACCATGTGGATGTGTGACTGTACTGTCATTTCAAAAGGAGCTTGTTGATTTTATTTCTAATGTTACATTTCTAGGTTACAGTGGAAGCATTTTTTACCTTGATTAGCAAATAAAGCTTGATGTGAAAGGTAAATGCAAGGCAGAAAAGGTTTGTCCCATTTACCATTTTTTCAACCCACTCCGTTACAAAAAGGCTTTTGCGATAAAATTGTTTTTCTTCGAGAGTTCACCTGCAAGGGTAACTAGCCACTGGAGCAACTTATCAAACAACGCGGGTGGATTCTCCACTCTTTAAAATCTTTCAATCAAAACTGAACGTTCTTCTAAAAATACTCTTCAGCTCAGCCACAAGGGCTTGATGAAAGAACTATTGTCATAAATTCTCTCATCTCTGTTATAGACATGGTCAGACCAGGCAGCTCCTCCTTATTTAACACCTGCCTGTAAATACTTAAACATATGCATTTATTTGCATACAATTACACAACTTTTGAGTTACACGAGTACAAAAGTTTATGTAGTTTTCTTTTTTTATAAGTGCAGTTTCAGCATGCACACTCTGCTGTTCTTTCAGCTTTACGCTGGATCTGAATTGCTCCTGCTGAGTCTGTCTTGCTTTGAAAATACATACATATATATATATA